AGGTGCTGCCCCTCCAAAGGGAGGATGCTTCCCAGGAATAACCTCCCACCAAGACCACTCTGGCCACGGACGCCCAGCACGCTCCTGTGCCGAGACTCACTCGTCCTCCTTCGGCTTGGACATGGCTGGCTGCAGGCTGACCAACTCACGGCCGCCGCCAGCCCCTGGACACTGAACACCACCTGGGAGGGGAAGGCAGGCAGGATGGGGGGGTCAGGCGGGCAGCCAGGCAGGACCCCCGGCAGCAGTGACAGGGCTCTGGGGGCTCACCTTGCCCAGGAAATCATTCCTGCCCACCAGGTCCCAGTCCCACACCTCCACACACAGCTTCTCCCCAGCAGGCTCAGCCAGCTCAAACTCGAAGGTCTCATTCCAGCGGGGGTAGCAGGATTTCTTCACCACCTGCAAAGGCAACGGCTTCATCCCTCCTCACTGGGGGGATCCCACCCTCCCTGGGGACACCAAACATGGACTCACAGTGCTCTCCTGTGTCTTCCCGTTGTAGCGCAGGCGGACAAAGGGGTCAGAGGCACCGTTCCGGTCCTTCCTGGCCAAATCCCTGCCAAGAAAAAAGGGAAATTGCCAAGAACCTCCCAAAATACCTACGGCACCCACAGCACCCAATCCCTTCTTGGTTCCCCAGCAACCCAAGACACACACCCTAAGGACCAGCAGACAAGGTGACCCCGCTCCAAGACCCCCACCAGCTGCTGGGTGGGGGTGAAGATCATAGAATCGTTAAGGTTGGAAAAGACCTCAAGGATCATCAAATCCAACCACCAACCCAACACCACCTAACCCACTAAACCATGTCCCGAAGCACCACATCACATGTTTCTCGAACACCTCCAGGGATGGTGACTCCACCACCAAGATATGCTCTGCACCCAAAGGAGGATGACTGAGAAGACCATGGTGCAATGGGGAAACTGAGTCATGGAACACCTGGCACTCACCGGACGTGTCCCAGCTGCACACACAGCCCCCAGCCACCCTCATGTCCCCTCCTCACCTGGCCTCCAGCACAGTGCAGCGCAGCCGCCGGCCGCCTGGGCCCCCCAGGACCTCCACGCACAGGGGGATCTCCCCCTGCACCTCCTCGTCGGGGTCCACCTCGCTGAGGCTTACCCAGCCACTGTACCCTGTGGGGGGGAAATGGGGACATCTTCATGGGGGGGTCACTGGGGGGCCCTCAGGACCAGCTCATCACAGGGGCTGGGAGACAGATCCCCGCTGGGACTCTCCCGGCCACCCGTCCCCCTACCCTTGGGGTGCTCCGCCAGCGTGTCCCGGGTGATGCAGACCTTCCCAATAACGTCATCACGGCTGGAAAACAAAAACCAGGAGCAGGACGTGGAGTGGGATCAGAGCCTGCCTGCTCTGCTGGGGCCCACACAGGACAAACCCTTGCCATGGGTTTCGGGGAGACACACGGCACCGCAGTGTCCTGGCCTGGGGCCACTATGTGTCTGTCCCCATGGAGCACATCAGCCACCATTCGCTGCCAGCTGGAAAATAGCCTCAAGAAATAAACTTCACCCATTTGGGTTCCAAAACCCAAGCCAGCACAGCCAGGTGTGGATTCTCTGGTGTCTACAATGGGGTTGAGCATGCAGGCAGCCAAACTACCGACCTCTGAGTCCCCACTGCAGACCTGCCTGTACCTGAGCGCATCCTCATCCATGACGTAGATGGAGACGCTGTGGAAGGTGGGCTGGAGGTGCACCTCGTATTCTTCCCCCCAGAACGGGGACAGTGTCTTCCACACGGTGGCAGTCCTGTGGGCAGATGGCACCAGTGATGGGGGGGACAAGGCTCCCTTGCTGGGAACTCCCCACCTCCCCAGCCCTGCGATCTTCCCAGCTTTTGGTGACACACGGCTGGGGACAGCAGCCACAGTTCTGAACTCCCAGCTGGGGCAGGGGATGGGTCCCTGTCCCTTCTGGTGGCTCTGGGATGGCAAGATGTTGGGGGTGGCTATGAGCTGTTAGACATTGCAGCCTGGGTCTGGAGGAGTGGCTCAGGCTGAAGAAGGGAATAATAATAATAACAATAAATAGTAAGGAATAACATGGAATAACACGGAATAACACAATTGTGCCTGCAGCAGGGTAGATGAAGGAACCTGCCAGGAGCCGACTGTGGCAGCAGGTTTGGGGACCAGCCAGGGACACGGAGCCACTCACCTGATGATGGCCTCGTCGTCGATCTTCACGATGCAGTACGGGTCGCTGCTCCCTGTGCTGGAAGGACATGGCATGGCTCTGTCAGTGCCACCAGTCACAGCCCTGGCCCCCCTGTCCCAGCCCCACAGGGCTCTCATGGTCATGGGTGACCAAAGCCTTCAGCCCTGGCAAACCCCCCAAGAGTGGGGACCTCACAGGTCCCAGGGCTACGGAGTGTGGGGGTACAGAGGCACCCCCAGAGGCTAAAGGCCTCAGAGGGTGGGTTTGGATGTGGCTGCAGGCACGTGGTGACCCTGGCTTCGCTCCCAGCCTGGAGACACACATCCCTGGCTGTGTCCAGCCACTGCATCCCAGTGGAAGTGGCTCTCCTCTTCCAAATAGGAAAGCGAAAAACAAACAAACCCTGAAATGGCTCCACGCGCCCACAGCCCCGTTGCACACACTGGAAGCGAGGCCACAGCAGCCTCCTCCAGCCCTGGGGCACGCCCAGAGCCCCAACATCTCTGTAGGGACAGGGACATCCCTGGGGACACCCCTGGGGACACCTGCAGTGAGGGTGTGAAGGGCAGGCTGACAGTGCCATGGCACAGAC